ACTTTAGGTCTTCACTTTTCGGATTTTGGGTTGAGGTTTAGGGTTTGGGGCACTTTTGGGTCTTCATTGTTCGGATTTAGGATGGTTAGTTCTGGGGTTTGAAGTTCGGGATTGAGACTATGGGCCGGTGTGGGACTCTGTCGGAAGGAAACGGGTGGAGAAACACCCCTACAGTTTAGAAACGGGCGACGCCTGCAGGTTATATTGCCATGCGTTGCAGCACGGTAGACCAAACAAATTTGCAGTGCAGGATGTCAGCGTTTTACAGTAAACTATTCATACCACAAGATCATGGGCAATGATGTGCAGTATACTTTAACAGTATTGCAGGCTTCTTACTTTAGCAAACTTCCAATGCTCGTTGAATGCAAGCATCGGAACAGGTTGAAATCAATACGCCTGCTTCAGCAGCATGCCAATGTCTCAACTTTCCAGTAAACCCTAAACCCTAAACCCTAAACCCTAAACCCTAAACCCCTAAACCCCAAACCCTAAACCGTCACGAACCGGATTCAGGTTGCGTGTTCAGGTTGGCTAAAGGCTTGAAGAGTTTGAACACTGTACGTCTGATTGAATGGCCAAGGAGGCCTTCAGAAATAGAATCCGCCACAGGCCCGCAAGTCAAGTTGTAATAACCCAGACATTCCAAGACTCCTTAATTTGAGAAATCTTGCGAAGTATCCTTGAAGTGTAGAAGATGTCCTCCTAGAAACTTCGGAGAGCTTCATTACGTGAGCGCGATTCGAAACCGGCCAAGCAACGGTCTTGGCACCGTAAAGCTGTGCGCACTGCAGTAGCAGAGATGTCGGGCAGTTCAGCAGTTACCTTGTTTTGCAGGGGGTAAGGTTGTAAACCCTAAACCCTAAACCCTAAACACTCTCCGGAGAACGTCTTTTTGTACGTCTAGGGCACAAGAGCTCGCTCTGGACCTGTATCTCTTACATCTCCCCCGGCGAGCCACGAGAGAAAAAAACTCCAAAGAGATGGCGGCATGTTCCACTCGGGACATGTTTAGGATTTAGGGTACAGAGATTTGGGGTCGAGGGCTTGAAGGTTTAGAACCCTAAACCCCGAGCCCACCTAAAGAAAGCTAAACCGATCACAGCTGCGTGAAAGTGCGGCGTGTTCAACACGCCGCATTCCCGCGCACCTTCCAGGACCTTCTCCGTCCATTCAGGCCGCCCAATGGTGATGTAGCGTTGTGTAGCAGACCTGCAGGGCCGAGTTCATACGTGAGCTTCAGCTTTGGCGGAGGTTATACAACCGCAAAGAAGTCTAGAGGCAATGAATGCAGTAGCCATGGGACGCATGTTTCCACTTCTCCCACCTCAGGGTGCGGGCTCTTTGCACCCGGGGTTCAGGTAACAGGGCTCAGTGTTTAGGGCTTCGGGTTTCGGGTTCAGGCTTCACTGTGTAGAAATTGTCCCTAAACCGTTTCGGGTTCGGGTGCTTGGCTTTGGGAAGCTTAAACGACAGTCCACCTGGCGACGTCGTCCGCTCCGTTGAGGTGAAAGTGGACGAACTTCAAGCGCTGCCAGCGAGTGTCCTGCAGGGCGTCTAGGGGTTTTGTAGGAATTTGTAATGGAATGTCCAATGATTGGTTGCAGGGTAGTTTATGGGGGTTCTTCACAGGGTGCCTACTCGGGCTTTATCGAAGTGTTGTCTAAGTCATCGTATGCCCCTTTACAACACCTGGGTAGAAAGCCTAAACCCTAAACCCTAAGCCCTAAGCCACGTGTCCTCCTCTAGCTCTTGCACGGCCTCTTTTGCCTCCGAACTCCGCGAAGCTGCAGAGTTTCTATGTTTAGAGCTTTGGAGTTTAGGTTTTGAGGGCTTGGCTTTTGTTGCGGTTTCAGGTTTAGGATCAAGGGGTTTGGGATTTGGGGCTTTGGGCCTTCGGCGGCGGACTCTTGTGAGTCTTGCTTATCGGTTCATGGGACTTGGTAACTAGGGTTATAAATAGGGTAACTATGCGTACTTATAATTACTTATAACCCCAATTAAGGTACTTATAACTGTACTTGTTAAGTCGCATGAACCTCCAAGTGCAGCCTATGGAAAGCTGATTCAGCTCTTCGACAGTCACGGGCAAGCCCGCCAACGACACCTTCCACCTGCGACCCACAGTTCAAAACAAATAGGAATAGCAATAACAGTTGCAAAACGGCTATAGACTTACTGATAATCACAATGACACTAACATTCGCAGTACTAGAAGTAATCATCAGCAGAATAGTGTTACTAATCGGAATACCAAGAGTATTCTAAATAATAATAATCATCATCATCATAATCATAATAATAGCAACAATAAGTATACACGTAGTGATAACCACAACGGTAACGAACATGGGAACCGAGTCCCTGAGCTCCGAACCCTGGTCCCATTCTCAAGGGGTTTAGGGTTTAGGGTTTAGGGTTTAGGGTTTAGGGTTTAGGGTTTAGGGTTTAGGGTTTAGGGTTTAGGGTTTAGGGTTTAGGGTTTAGGGATTCTCAAGACTCCCAGCCTGGAACCCAAACTGAATGCCTCCTGATTCCTATTCCCCAAAACCCCGTAAATCCTACATCCTAAACCCTGAACCTGAAAACATGAACCCTAAACCCTAAACCCTAAACCCTCAACTAAAAACTCTAAACCCTAGAACCCTAAATCCTAAACCCAAATTTGGTTCCGATCTGTAAACTCTAAACCCTGAACCCTAAACCCTAGACCCTAAACCCATCCAGCTTCCCGAAATCAACCGGCCTCGAGGTTGTTCAAGGCGAGCCAAGGGACCTGGCAGTACCCACATGGGGGTTTCCACAAATAGAGGACCCTAATATAGTACCCTGAATAGTAAGATCCTTATTATAAGCACCCCAAAATAAGGTACCCTGATTTTCGGAAACTTCCACGTCTTCCGAAGGCCGGTCTTCTTTATAACCAACAACCCCAGCATTCTTTAAGACCCTCATGTAGGGGCCTTTGTTATTCGAAGAGGGTTTTGGGACCCATTATGGCCCATTATACCACAATCATTATTAAGGAACCCCCAAAATAGTATAGGTATTTATATAACGGCCCCCAAACGAAGACCTTGAGGCCTGAACCTTCAGCCCTGATCTTCAACCCCTCATCCCGGAACCCTAAAGCCCTCAGGCCCTAAACCCGAAAACCCTAAACCCTAAACCCCAAATAACAGTGAAGGAAATCTTCCACGGCTGCTTTGGGGACGTAGTGCTTCGGAGTAAGATCCAGAGATGCAGGCATTTGAGGACTTGGGGTTTGAGGTTTGGGGTTTGAGGCCTTAGGGTTCGAGGCTCAGTGGTTTAGGGTTTAGGACTTTGGGTTTGGGGTTGAGGGTTTAGGACTTTGGGTTTAGGGTTGAGGGTTTAGGACTTTGGGTTTAGGGTTGAGGGTTTAGGACCCAGGGTTTAGGGTATAGGGCTTGAGGCTCAGTGGTTGACGATGTTACCGTCGCAGTGATAGCCCCACCTTGAACCTACTAACGAAGTAAACCCCACTACAACCCTAAACCCTAAACCCTAAACCCTAAACCCTAAACCCTAAACCCCAAAAACCCCAAGGCTCCCTAAAACCCCAAAAGCCCCATGGCAACCCTGAACCCTAAACCCTAAACCCTTTGAATTGAGAAAAGAGAACGTCAACGCCTCCCAGGCTCCTCATCTAAAACTCTGCTCCCCAGAGCCCCCTTTTAAGCTCCTAAACCCAAAAAACCCCCGTGAACTTGGGCTTAGGGTTCTGGGATTAGGGTTTAGGGTTTAGGGGGTAGGATTTAGGGTTTAGGGTTTAGGGTTTCGGTTATAGGGTTTAGGGTTTAGGGTTCTAAGTGTCGACTACACCCTACATCCAACCTCAGCCGTCGCCAAGCGGATGAGGTGGGCGCGGTCGAACCAGCGGATGGGATTTTCAGATTCAGATCTCCTCTAATGAAAGGAGACTACAGGTGGGGAGTTTAGGGTATATAGGGCTTCTATAGGGCTTCTATAAGGCATATAGACCTTCAATAAAGCTCCTATAACGGTAACTACCCACCTTGGATAGCTCTCTAAATGAGAGTCCCTTTGAAGGTCCTGTTGACGTAAAGCGGGACCCTTAGTTATAGGAATTACCAAAGAATGCTGTGATTGATGATTCCGCCGCTGATAGCAGGGTGGCCCTTCAACGTCGCCTGTCCTCTGCATAAGTTATCGGGTCAGGGCTTCGGGTTTTCTGGATGAAAATTTAAGAGCTGCGGGCTCTTCGGACTTATCTTAAGCTCGGGTTGGGCGCTTGGGATTTGGCCGGTGCTCGGGGCCTTAAGTTTTGGGCTTTCGCGTTTTGGATATGATGCCCTCGTTCTGACTGTCATCTAAAAAACACTTGTTCTAAAGGCCTGCAACAGTTTAAGGCTTACAGCGTCAGAGTTGGGCTTGGGGTTTGAGGTTTACAATCTCGGGCTTCGAGCCTGTGATAGAGGAATGTTCGTTTACATCATGAGATCTCTTGCCGCTGCTGCTCCTCGCCGCGGGAGCGTTCCCTAGAACGCAGACAACTCAGGCTTCAACCTCCAACCTTGCCCGGAAGAGCTGCTGTTTTAGCACCCCCTCAACCCTAAACCCCAAACCCTAAACCCTCAACCCTCAACCCTTAACCCTAAACCTTCAACCCTAAACCCTCAACCCTCAACCCTAAACCCTAAACCCTAAACCCTAAACCCCATCGAGTATACTCCAGTTTGGGCTATGATATAAGGGTCCCCTTAACCTTGAACCCACAAGCCCGAGCTTTCCGGA